GAGCAAGCCTACATAAAACACCGAGTGGGTTTATCCTTCTTGAAAGGTCAGCGTATACGCTAGGCCTAATTTGGCCACGGCCTTTGAAGGTCCGATCAACCGTGAACGGATATTCGTCTTAAAGACAGCAGAAACTGCATGTGTAGGAAGGTATTTAGCATTTAGTAAAACCAGGTCTCCGAGCTCAATGTTGTCAATATTATTCTTCCTTTTCCGTCTGCACTCTGCATGTCTTGGCTTTCAGCCATCGCATCGCGATCGTGTCGTAGAACACTCAATCTAGTAAGCAGGAATCTCTTGATTTCTTTACGTACGGTGAGGATGCTGACATCAACTAGCTGTTCGACTATTCCTCCCCCACCAAGCCCTGAGCCATGGAGCGGGACGCGAGGATTGATAAGCCCGTTTACGTAGAACGGCGTATAACCGATAGATGAATGCACTGCTTTGCTCAGAGCAAACTACGAGTGGCAACATAGCACTCCAGCGCTTCGGCTTCTTAGCGCAGACGCCGCAAAAACGTTTTGAAGATTGCAATTCACGCTTTCAGTCTGACTGGGTAGTTCCTTTCCGCAGCCTTAAGCTGGCGAGATTCGAACGCGATCACCCGATCTCGCTCACGATCTCGCACTTTCTTAGTGTCCTCCAGGACAGCTTCATCCAGAAGCGACGACGAGTTGATCTCCTCGTTCGGTCTTATAATGACCTCCTCGGCAAAATTGCCTACCTTCAAGGCACTGCTAAACTCTTCGAAGGGCGTCATGTTCAGATTAAGAAGGGAATCTACCGCGGGAATAGCCTCGATGGTGACGTCGCCGTCTTCCTTTCACGTCAAACCGTTGACAAGGGTGTATAGCTGGAGATTAACTCGTCGTCGCTTCTGGATGAAGCTGTCTTGGAGGACATTAAAAAAGTGCTGAACGCACGAATTGGATCGTCGATCCTGAAGGGTCCCTCGGATCCGTAACATCCTTTAGTAAAAGAACTCCAAGACGTCGTCGCCAAAGACCCGCCGTCGGTTCGACCTCCAAACTGAGCTGTGCGTCACGAGATTGACCTGTTTTCGGGAACAAAATACTGCGTAACACGCCAATGACCCCTGCCCAAATAGCAGTGTGACGTCGTTGACGCCTTTTACGTGCGAAGCACGACGTAGGAATGATGCGTGAGAGTAAGTTTCCCCATTCGACACCCACGTTTTGTGCCCGAAAGCCGAACGGCAAGTGGCGTATCGTTCACGCTT